ATCTCATACATTGGCATAGATATGACATTAATGAACGTACATGGGAGCCATCCAAGAATCTAGCAAATATATCAGCCAAAGTTAAAGATTTTCATCAACGACATCCATCAAAATTAAGATAAAAAATCAAGAAATTCTTTGCTATAAAGCAAAGCAAACCCAATTGAAATTTCATTCTATCTTGTATTATTTTTTTTTTGGATTTTTTAGTGATTAAGAGATGAAAAATCAATAACAAGCAGATTCAACTAAAGAGCTATCATTTGCTAAAGTACTAGATGAAATTTTGCGACTATTATAACCTTCAAGATGACAAAATCGAGATGAAGATCCTTAAAAATGACATATTCTTCCTCGAATAGATGGCAAGATACAATGCATTTGGTATCACGATCTTAGAAGAGATTTTTAGTGTTTAGTGATACTTTTGGAAGTAAAAACCTCTCTTAATGGTATTACTAATGTTAAGTTTGGAGGAAGCTATTAAAGCTTTAATAATGATCAAATTTCATAGTGGTCTTTTCGTCCTAGTATGGGACATTATTGATGGTTAAAGGGACTTATAAACTACCTTCAAAGGGAACAAAGTTTAATGCATGTGGCAAATATAGTTTGGCATATCTTGGACTTCATCAACATATAATCATTGCTCCTTGTAGAACTCATTCCTGGGAAGGAGAATAATATCACGGACATATATATTTACCTTGATAATTATCTAGATAATAAGAATAGGTAGAAGTAAGTCAAAGTAGATAAATATGATAATATCTTATAGAAAGCTTTGTAGAAGCTTTATAGATGCTGTTTTGCTTTTATATATGTCTATAAGTAATTGATAGGTTAAAAACTTTCACTTCCAAACTAATTTTGTTCTTAGTATTTTCTTTGTTCTTAGTATTTTCTTTGTTCTTAGTATTTTCTTTGTTCTTAAGTCCTCTCTTCTACTTGTCTTAAGCAATATTAGATCTTTTTTTTAAAAAAATAAATTATCATGGCAGAGCTTCTTGAAATAAAAAGTGCAATAGCACAAATGAAAAAGCAATTGAGGGAGTTGATGCTTGCGATGCATCAACTTAGTTTATCACCACTTGGAACAATAAAAGTGGCAAGAAGTAAAGATACAAATATGATTGGAGCCACTTCAATATCTACACCAAATCACATCCTTTTTTCTATAGTAGAATACTCTTCCAGTATTAAAAAATCTAAAGTCACCTTATTTAAGAAACTTGATGGCATAAGATCTAAGTTTTGAGGATTTATCAATCATGTACAACTTGTGATTGAACTTCAATTCCAAAGCTATCCAATGCCAAGATCACAAGTTAGATTCATTAGTATATTTCTTTCAAGTTTAGCATTATCATGGTTTTCATCTTTTTTTGAACGACGAGATTGAATATTGGATAATCTAGAGGCTTTTTTGGCGGAATTTTGATCAATGTATGGAAAACATGATACAATTTTTGTTGCAATCAATAAAATTTGTATCTTACGATAAGGCAATCAATCAGTGATATCACATGCTTCACAATTTTGACAACTAATAACTGATATCAAGTAGGATAATGTTGCCCTTATCAGCCAATTTTTCAATGGATTATAATATGAAATAAAGAAATTGATGCTCAACTTATCTGATCCTTAGACATTGAGTCAAGCAATTGATTTTGCTGTGAAGTGTGACAATTGGCTTTTTGAGTTTCAATCTAAGAATTGTACAAGAGAACCTCCATGCTATTATAATTCAATGACAACATTGATGGCCTCTCAATCTAAACATCTAGAAGTAGAAGACATGTAAATTAATGTAATATATTTTAAACCTCTTACTGAACAAGAAAAGACTTGTCGTTATTAAAAAAGACTGTATTTATATTGTGGAAAAGCTAAGCACATTGCTCAATATTTTATTCAAAGAAATGATGCTATTGGAAAATGAATAGTATGATTGTCAAAGATAAAAAAATGTCAGAAAATAAATCTGTCCAACTACAATAGGGACCGTATAGCTATAATCTTGTACAAATGAAGGTTCTATCCTCTCCTCACAACCCTCTCCTTGTTTTATAATAGATGTGTATTTAAAACCTAATAATTACAAAGCCTAAGCCTTGATAGATTCAAGAATCTCAGCTTGTTTCTTAAATGAATAGTTTACCAAAAGCCATAAAATATCATTAATACAAAAAAAAAAAAAAAAAAAAAAAAAAAAAACCCATACATGTAGAAGTCATATATTGCTATCTATTATTTTTTGGAGATATTATTCATGAAATACTTTCTATAGATGTAGCAATAAATAATCATAATAGTTGTATAATTTTTAATATAATTAGGTCTCTTTTTAATCCAATCATTTTAAATTTATCATGGCTAAAAAAATATAATTCTCTAACAGATTAAATTTTTCATAATCTTAATTTTTCTCAGAGTACTATTAAGAGTTTTATAAAAAGCCATGAGTCTTATATAGCCAAACCTATACTCGTAGGTGTAAAAGCTTTCTTGTATATTGTAAAAGAAGGATTGTCATTTATTATTTATGCCACACCTATTTTTAATGATGGAAAGACTTCAAGTGGCATTTCAAGTTAATATCAAGTTTTTTAAGATATTTTTGAAAAAAAAAATGCAGATATTTTCTTAGAGCATTGACCATATGATTGTTCAATGGACCTTTAAGAGGGAAGTCAGCTACCATTTGGTCCAATCTATAGTTTATTATAAAATGAATTGACTGAACTCAAGAAATATATTGATAAGAACTTAGCTTAGGATTTCATATGTCATTTGAAATCTCTTGTTCGAGCTACTATCTTATTTGTAAAGAAAAAAGATGGATCACTAAAAATGTATGTAGATTATCAAAGATTCAATAAGATTACTATTAAGAATAGGTATCCTATATCTTTGATATCTGAACTTCTTGATCAACTAAATGAAGCTAAGATCTATACAAAAATAGATCTACAACGAGCATACAACTTGGTTTACATTAAAAAAAAAGATGAATGGAAGACTACATTTCAAATAAGATATAGACTTTTTGAATATAATGTCATGTCTTTTGGATTCACGAATGCACCAACTGCTTTTTAACATCTTATGAATGATATTTTTTGTGAGTTTTTAGATGATTTTATTGTCTATTACTTAGATGATATTTTAATTTATTCTAAGAATATAAAAAAATATGAAATTCATATTCATTATGTATTACAAAAACTTAGAGATGTGAGATTATATGCCAAATTGAAAAAGTATATATTCCATATTACTCAAGTTGACTTCTTACAATATATCATTTCTAATAAAAGACTTATGATGGATCCAAAGAAGATTCAAACTATTATAAATTGGAAGATTCCAAAAATAGTGAGATATGTAATACTTTTTGAGCTTTATTAATTACTATTGAATCTTCATCAAGAATTTTTTTTAAGTTGTAGCTCTTCTTATATGTTTTATATGTAAAGACAAACTTTATTGGAATAAAGAAGCTAAAGCGTCTTTTGAAGCCTTGAAGTCGGCATTTAATATTGCACCAATCTTATATCGCATCGACTTTTCAAAGGTAATTTTTATGGAAACAAATGCAAATTCAATCAAGTATGTCCTCTGATCTTCTTACTCATGATATCAAGAATACTTCTTTTAAGTCTTGTGATACTTCTAAGTTTGAATTCAAGAACAACCTACTTTATTTTGAACACTGCTTATATGTTCCAGGAGGGGAAGCATATTTATATATTCTTTAAGGACATAATGACTTTCTAGCAATTTGGATATTACCTCCAAAATATTATTATCTATGGACAAAATAGTCTTTTATTTCTATGGATTTTATTACGAATCTTCCAGTCTCAAGTTTGTATGATTTTATATTTGTGATAGTAGATTTTTTTATCAAAATGGCATATTTTATACCATGCACAAAATCTATCAGAGATGAAGAAAGTGCCAAACTTTTCTTTGACAATATCTATCGGTATCATGGATTATCAAAAGATATTATATTAGATAGAAGGATTCAATTTATATCATGCTTTTGGAGAACTCTTTTTAAGGTTCTAAAGGTGAACAAAAAAAATTCTTTGGCCTTTTATCCTCAAATTGATAGATAGATAGAGTACATAAACCAAGTTTTAGAGCAATATTTTAGGTATACCATCAATTATCAATAAGATGATTGGAGAACCCTCTTGCCATTGGTAGAGTTTGTTTATATTAATACAATGTATTCTTCTATGTAATAAATACCTTTTTTTTTATCAATTATCATTGTTACAAACATTATTATATAATATACTTAATATTTCATAAAAAAGTGATAATAATGATTAATTAGAGATTTGAGGTTAAAATAACTAGTGTCAATTTGTTAGGCTTTCAATTGATATTGATTCCTTTTTATCCATCAAATTGATTGGATATCAAAATTTCTAATAAAATTCATGTTGATAATGATTTAAATTTTAACAACCTTAACAATTCATACAATATTATTAACATTATTAATAAAGATAGAAAAGACATGTGGTAGCAAAATGGATCTCTTTCACCAAAACAAAAAAGTAAATAAAATAGAATTAAAATTTTGTATCTAAAAAATATATTAGTTAAGGTAAAAAAAATTAAAAAATACAAAAACTAAAAAAAAGATAACAATGAGTGAATCCATATCAAATCAAAGCTATTTATGAATTTACAAAGACATAGGAGATCACTACAAGTTACATAGACCAGGCCCGATTTGAATGGACCTTATGTCACTCACAATTCCCTATGCCACAAGGAGTAAAAAACTCTTTCTATTCCCACCATAGTCATCTGAGCTGGTGTCAATGCTAGCGAAATGTGTCTAAACGTGCAAAGTTGTAGAGGATTGTTATGCTTTAACACTAGATTGTTGCCTCGTGGGAGAGTCTTGTGATTCAGTGCTTCTGGGAGGCGTGAGACCGGCTTCTTAACGTGATATCTCAGGGTTGGTAAGTGTTTGAAGCCATCAATACCGCTTACAATCACCTTTGCGGAACGCTTCTCTCACATGTGCCTATCATTCACCTGCGTAATCGCGATCGCATGTAGCTGGCGATGAGTTTGAAAAACCCTAAACCCCGAACACTGAATTCAGGTGTCGGATTGTTTTGACGTGATGACAAGTTTCGCACAGATGTGTCTACGCGGTCAGCTGCTAGGTTTCCCGCAAGGATGTTTCCTACATGATACTATCTCCCAGCAATTTCTCTGTGAGGGCTCAACGCGGTCGCGGGTTTTGTTACAGAATCTCGGGGTAGTGATGAACTGTTGGGTTCTTCGAATAGCTACGTGGTGGATTGTTTGAGGAGATAATGGAGTTGCTTGGTGTACTAGATTGGCAGAGATCGTCGCAGATATTGTTTCCGGTGTACTGCGGGAGGGAGACATGATTGAGCTGGTTTGTGGCGGAATACGTTGCGAATGTGAGGTGGGTCTTGAGCTTTCTAAGTTGGTACAGTGGAAAGAAGGGAAAATGGTTTAGGGGAAGGATGAGGTACAGCTTGGTTGTCGAGACGGGGATGGCTATGGTCTCTCTTTCTCTGCTGCGACACTTGTCAATTGTCATCCTCTCCCCATTACATAGGCGAGGTGGCCATCACCACGTTGTACAACCCTTCAACTGTGGAGCTTAGAAGTACTGTGGATTGGTTTGCAGGTATGGAAGTTAACATCCTTATTCACGATCAGATCCTAGTTGGTTTTATTGCGCATTGAGCGATTCAGTTAGTCGTTCTGGCGATGCTCGAAACCTTGAGGGCATTTAGTAGTCGTAATAGTAGGTGATTCAATTGTAAAGTGCTCAGTGGTGAAGCACTGGATTAAGATGCACGGTCGGCAGCCATCACCGCGGTTTTGGACAAGTGTTTCATCGCTGTTGCTTACGAGGTAGGATACTAACAGTACATTTCTTCTCCAGGAATGTGTTTTTTACACGCCAGCTTTTGAATCTTTCTTGTAATGCAAGTCTTTGCTTGTCTATCAAGTAATTACAGTGATGAAGATTAGTTATCTGGAGCGGTGAAAACCTTGTAAAAAGCTGCAGAGTTTAACAAATGCGATTATACAGGGTGCTTGGAGTACAATCATCTCGATTTATAGGTATCAGGCAGTGGTGCTACAATGGCAAAGCATATTTCAGGAATTCTACACCTATGTCACTCACTCCTAATGAAGGGAGGCGAAGAATTCAAGAGAGTGGTAGTACTTGGGATGCATCTGCCAAGGTTGGGAGGAATACGTGGAAGGGGAAATCTATCAGGGGTGGAGTGCAGTTATTGGGTAAAAGAGGAGTTCAAGCAAACTTGAACTTTTACGCCCGACGTTTGCAGGAGTGCGTTCAAGCCAAATCTCTAGCTGAAGGCAAGAAGGTACACGATCACATGCGAAGTGCTCAGTTCGAGCCCGATATTTATCTTAATAACATGCTCATAAGTATGTATTCAAAGTGTGGGAGTATTGAGGATGCGAACAACGTGTTCCAATCCATGGAAGACAAGGATGTGGTTTCTTGGAATGCGATGATATCTGGATATGCTCTGCATGGACGGGGTCAGGAAGCGGTCGACCTTTTCTATCAGATGCAACGGGAGGGGTTGAAGCCGAATCAGAATTCGTTTATAAGCATCCTCAGTGCATGTCAGACCCCAATAGTTCTCGAATTCGGAGAGCAAATCCATTCCCATATTACAAAAGCTGGATATGAATCGGACGTTAATGTGTCAACTGCTCTTATTAACATGTACTGTAAATGTGGAAGCCTTGAACTTGCACGCAAGGTTTTCAACGAAATGCGAGAAAGGAATGTAGTTTCTTGGACTGCAATGATTTCTGGTTATGTGCAACATGGGGACAGTAAGGAGGCATTTGTGTTGTTTCAAAAACTTATTCGAAGTGGAACCCAGCCGAATAAAGTTAGTTTTGCCAGCATTCTTGGTGCATGCACCAACCCCAATGATCTGGAGCAGGGTTTAAAGCTCCATGCGTATATCAAGCAAGCTGGACTTGAGCAAGAGGTGCTTGTAGGAAATGCCCTCATTAGCATGTATGCAAGGTGTGGCAGCTTAGCAAATGCACGTCAAGTATTTGATAACTTGCGGAGCCCCAATCGAGTCTCCTGGAACGCTATGATTGCAGGGTACGGTGAAGGTTTCATGGAGGAGGCTTTCAGACTTTTTAGAGACATGCAACAGAAAGGTTTCCAGCCCGATAGGTTCACGTATGCAAGTCTTTTGGCTATTTGTGCAGATCGGGCAGATCTAAATCGGGGAAAAGAGCTCCATTCCCAGATTGTACGCACTGCTTGGGAAGCAGACGTGACTGTGGCAACTGCCCTGATTAGCATGTATGCGAAGTGTGGGAGTCTGGAGGAAGCACGCAAAGTCTTCAATCAAATGCCAGAAAAAAATGCCGTTTCTTGGAATGCATTTATTGCTTGTTGCTGTCGACATGGTTCTGAAAAGGAAGCTTTTCAGGTCTTCAAGCAGATGCGCCGGGATGATGTTATCCCAGACCATGTAACTTTTATTACGCTTTTGAACTCATGTACTAGCCCCGAAGATTTTGAGCGCGGTAGATATATTCATGGAAAGATTGATCAATGGGGAATGCTTTCTAACAACCTTGTCGCAAACGCTCTCATCAGTATGTATGGGAGGTGTGGAAAACTAGCAGATGCCCGGGAAGTATTTTACAGAATCCGAAGGCGGGATCTAGGGTCATGGAATGCGATGATTGCGGCTTATGTCCAGCATGGTGCAAACGGATCGGCTTTTGATTTATTCATAAAATACAAGAGTGAGGGAGGCAAAGGGGATAAGTACACTTTTATCAACGTTTTAAGGGCTATAGCCAACTTGGAGGATTTAGATGCAGGCAGAAAGATTCATGGTCTTGTGGAGAAGGCTGGATTAGAGAAAGATATTCGGATTTTAACCACACTCATTAAGATGTACTCAAAGTGTGGGAGCTTGCGCGATGCTTACAGTGTATTCAAGAATGTTCAAGAGAAAGATGTGGTGTGTTGGAATGCGATGTTGGCTGCCTACAATCACAGTGACCATGGTCAGGATGCTTTAAAATTGTTTCAACAAATGCGATTGGAAGGTGTGAATCCCGACAGTGCTACCTATACTAGTGTGTTAAATGCTTGTGCGAGATTGGGAGCTATTGAGCATGGAAAAAAGTTTCATACGCAGTTGAAAGAGGCTGCCATGGAGACAGATACCCGTGTGAGTAACGCTCTTATTGAGATGTACTCAAGATGTGGATGTCTTAGTTCTGCCAATGAAGTCTTTGAGAAGATGTCTAGACGAAATACAAACTCGTGGAATGCTTTGATTGCTGGATACTGTCAGAATGGTCAAGGAAATGTTGCTCTAGAATATTATGAACATATGCTACGGGCTCGCATTTCACCAAACAAGGCCACTTTTACAAGCATCTTGTCTTCATATGCTCAACTGGGTGAAGAAGAGCAAGCCTTTGACTTCCTTGAATCTATTAAGGAGGAGTGGAACATGGAGCCATCAGAGCAGCATTATGCTTGCATGGTTGCTGCTCTTGGTCGTGCCAGTCTTCTGAAAGAGGCTGAGGAGTTCATTGAGGAAATTTCATCTGAATCAGATGCTTTAATGTGGGAGTCTCTTCTGGTAGCATGTAGAATCCACCACAATGTGGGACTTGCGGAAACAGCCGTGGAGCATCTACTTGATGTCAAGGCTCAATCTTCGCCTGCAGTTTGTGAGCAGTTGATGAATATTTATGCTGCAGCAGGGAGGTGGGAGGACGTCTCTGTAATAAAGGCCACTATGAGAGAGGCAGGACTTTTGGCGCCCAAATCTTGCACGATTGAGGTTAACAGTGAATTTCATACTTTCATGACAAACCATTTTAGCCCACAAATTGGTGTTGAGGATAAAATCGAAGAGCTAGTCTGGAAGATGATGGACAAGGGGTTTTTGCTGGATCCTCATTATGCACCCAATGATTCCCGGGAAAAGGAACGCTTGTTCTCTCACTGCCCAGAACTGTTGGCTGTTGCATATGGTCTCGAACACACACCTCCTGGGGTCTTAGTTCGTTGTGTTACGGATTCTCCGGTGACTGATCCTAGCCACAGAATGCTGAAATTCATATCAAAGGCGTACAACCGTGGCATTTTTGTGAGGGATCCCAATTGCTTTCACAACTTCAAAGACGGTATTTGTTCATGCGGAGATTATTGGTGACCATCTGTGAATTGAAATGTTAAGAGAAGTGGCCGGCAATTTTGTACAATTTCGACATATGCTGAAACACGAGATGAATCTCTTCTCACTTCGTGCAAATTTCAAAGTATGGCACATCCTCAGACTGACTTTTGTTATCATACATTCTAGTTACTCGTATTTTATGAGCAAAAGCTCTTTTAGGCCCACCTTTAGCTATTGGGTGATTCTACAGCCAAAGATTTATTATAAAGTGGCATGGTGCAGACAATCTAAAGAAGGGACATCGTGCGCTTTTGGAAGCCTTGATGGTCGTAGTTGCGATAAACGACTCTGTTCAATGTCACAGGTTATGATTTACATAAACCAAGATTTGGGATTGAAATATTGCACATAATTATGGATGTGCGGCATCATATAGATTCGTGCAGCATTGTGACCAAGACCCTACTAAGGAGTTATCCTCAATGCTTTTGTCTGTGTCGGATAGTTGCGCACTTTTAAATATGTCGATGTTCTTTGCATCATACATCGATAATTGATGTTCTTTGCATCATACATATCTCTGCATCATACATCGGTAAAAATGGCAGGGACCTTAATCGTGATCAAACGTCTGACATCGCATGAAAGTAATCACATTATATTACAAGTTGCAATGTCCTTAAAACCCGGAGACTGCAAATACAGAGCGTGATGAACACAAACAAGTATCATTAGTTCCTTTACAGCCAAATTGATCTGAACCAGAACTCATTAAAACGACAGGAGCATAACGGGCCGATTCTAAATTTCTTTACTTTCTGTAACTACTGCTCAAGAATAAAATATACCCCTTTACCTATACTTTAAACACGAAACCCTAACTTCAAGTGAGGACATGGAACAACAATAGTCTAAGTCCCTACATGACTTACAGCAATAAATAGAATTGCATCTACCAAAATAGAATGCCGAAAATAAGATCAGTGACCATGCATGCGCAACCATTTTCCCTCCTCCATGGGCTTCAGAAATCCCTGCTCTTTTTCCCGAGCTATGGTGGTGTAGGGACCTCCGTAATCATGGCCTGGATAAACCCTGGTGGTGGTAGGCAGAGCGGCAATCTTCTCCTGTAAACTGGTGTACATAGCTTTGGCATTACAGTCAGGAAGGTCCAAACGCCCACAACTCCCAATGAAGAGAGTGTCACCCGAAATCAAGATGCCACGTTCCGGACGCTCAATGAGGACGCATTGACTGCCAGGCGTATGCCCTGGAGTGTGAATGAATTTCAGCTTCACGCTGCCGATAGATACCTCAGCACAATCGTCAAGCGGAGTCAAATTCTCAGAGGGAACACCATTCGAATTCATCACGGTAGTTGCGTCATTCCTGTTCACGTACACGGGAAGCTTATCTTCGACTGCGAGCTCTCTAACCCCGGGCACTTTGATCCCGAGCTGGTCAAACGGAGGTGGCGGAGTACCACCAGTATGATCAAAATGATAATGAGTCACCACAGCTCCAACCAACCGCATATTCTCACCCGCTGCAAAACTTCTGATCCCCTTCACATCCCACGCCGCATCCACCACGACCGCCTCCCGCGTCCTCGCATCGCCGATTAAATAAACATAATTTTGCATCTGCTTTGCGCTACTAAAAATCTGCCGCTCAATGATATTTCCTGCGTTCACGGCGAAGTCCCGCCCCGCCAGCAGTTGCCGAAAGTAAAACCCTGATAGAGCCTCCCGAGCTAGGGCTACCTTCTTCTTCAACGTCTGATCCTCCACCGCGAGCTCCGATGCCCTCGCATACGCCTTCTCAGCGCCCTCATAGTTCCCCGACATAAAAAGTGCCTCTCCAAGACGAAAGTGGCTCTTACTCCAATCAGGTTTGGCAGCCACAGCGTTCTCAGCCTGCGATACAGCCTCCGCGAGCTCGTTCAGCTTCAAATACGCAAAGGAGCAGTTCGAATGCAACGGCGCAAGCTCCTGCGCCGGCAAATCCCTTCCCGCTTCGATGGCGCGCAAATAAAAATCCACCGCGGCTCTGTAGTCGTTGCGGCGCACAGCCTCGTTCCCCTTCTCCTTAAAAGCCTCCATAGCTCCTGCAACTCTCTCCTCTCTCTCTCTCTGTCCCTCTCTCGCTCGATTAAGCTCCTACGCGCACACAGCACAAGCTTAAGCTCGATCAAACCCTTGCCCACGGCCCCGTCCCCGTCTCGCACATTGACAACGTCACGTCACACATTCATTCATTCATTCCTTCGTTCGCTTGCTCGCTCCCTCCCTCACTGCGAGGGGGGAGGGGGTGTTGGCACGATCCATCGTCATTCTTGTAGTCAAAAAACGACGAGTGAGTGGCATTTGGCTTGATTAATTCTGCAGTGGAGCCATTTTGGTGTGGAAGTGAGAATGATTTCTGAATAAATAATAATAAAATCAATAAAAATGAAAATAAACTATGTATGCCGTGCTCCTCTCATCCGTTGTATTTGTTCTTGTTTAATCTTCTTCTTGGTTAATTGAAGATATTGCATGGTTTTGTTTTGTTTTGTTTTGTTTTGTTTTAATTCCAATATATATATATATATATATATATATATATATTTATTTAGAGAGAGAGAGAGATTACATTGTGAGGATTTTTCAATACTATAATGTTTGTAACACGACTCAAACAACATCAAAATTACAAAAAACTAAATAGATAAAGACTTATATGGTGTGAAAAGTAAGATATTACAATGAAAAGTAATATAAAGTTTTTATAAACTGTATAAAAACTTTTATACAGTTTGTCTAACATATTGTAATTGTGCTATGAAATTAAGGATTTTTATCGCACTTTTTAAATTTTCATTGTGATATTAAAAAAATAAATGGAATCAGGTAATATGTTGTTAGTTTTTAATTTTAATTTTTTACCAAACAACTAATAAATCAATGTAAGATTCAAATAAATCAGTATGATTTATTTTTTCGGTAATACAATATTGTCAAAGAAGGATTCATTGATGTATTTTTTTTTATATAAAAAAAACACCATTAAAAGTATTTTTTATTTTTTTTAATATACCTGTTGATTAAAAATAAAAGTGGGACAAATTAGCACATTAGCTATAGGAAAAAAATATGAAACTTCTATCTTAAGGGTAATCAATTTTTTAAGAACAATTTGTAAATGTAAAAACTAATTACAGTGTAGTATATAAAAAATGAAAATTAATTTTATATTTCATATTTCAAATAGACATTATGATTGTGTAGAAACAATCATTAAGAAAATAACCTCTTTAAGAATCAAACCATATCATCCAAATAAAAAATTATTATTATTATTATTATTATTATTATTTTGAATTATTGAAGTTTTATATAAATTATTTTGTGTAATTAATTTTCTAACTCTAAGTTTCATAAATTATGACTTTAATATGTATATATATAATTATCAATGAAGATAAATTATATGATTATAGTAATTAAATATTTTTTAAAATAATATAGCTAATTAAAATTAAATTAAATCCATGTATAAAAATACAATATAAATTTAATTATTCAAAAAATAAGATTTTTTTATTTATAAATAATTAAAAAATAATATCATAAATATGTATGTATGTATATATATACATATTATTTTATTCATATTTATTTTTTGTAATTATTATCATAATCAATTTAACAAAAATCAACAAAAAAAATAAAAATATCTTAAACTCAAATAATTCTTTTTCAAATGCTTGTAGAAAATTTCAATTTAATTTTTTTTTAGAATTATAAAATTATTTTCAGAATGTTAATTTTAAAAATTGATTCTATTTACATTGTGATTTTCTTTTTTCTTTTTTTTCTCTTTTCTTTTCTTTTCTTTTGTGATTTGCACATGATAATGTTAAATTATATGCTACAATATTAACTTCTTAATTCAATATAATTTCTATAAGAAAATGTTAAAATGACCTAGACTTTTACTAAATCAATTTACATATCTAAATCATCATTGCACCCCTTTAGTCTCCATCTCAAGCCCCTATTCCTAGCCCTAACTTCCCTAGCTAAGATCCTTGTTTTGGCAATGTCACTTCGTAGAATTCATAGATTGGTCTTGTATATACTCGTTTCAAAGTTCAAGGCAGCTCAACAAAGCTTTAGAATTTGGATCCAACAATTGAATTAGAGCATACAAATTGTGACCACAAGCTCATAAACTCGTGAATTTATTGCTCTTGAATCTACTTTACTCACCATAGACTAAATAAGAAAGAAAGAACTAAAGCCGTAGTGGCATTGTTATTGTTTTATAGGTGTTTCTATATGATCAATGTTTTTTTTTATGAGTACTGTGGTGGTGCATCAAGATATTGTAAGCTTGAATTTTCAAGTGATTATGTGTTTTTTTTTGCACAACTTATAATATGAGGATGTTCCAAAAAATTCTCTCCTTGTATACTCTATCATATTGGAATCACAACCTTAATCATGTTATTCTATCCATCTTAGACTTTTGGATTCAAAGAAAAGAAACTCTTGTTGAAACAATTAAAATGGCATCTAAAAGGATGCTTATTATGCATTATGTATCCTATTATACAAGTTTCAAGATTAACATTGCCCTTCTCCAAAAAAGGTCTTATTCAAATGTTCAAGGTCTCAAAGCATTTGAAAAGAAGTAATTCTTAATATAAATAGATATGCAATTTTTAAGAAATTTAGAATCTTGTTTCAATCCGATTTTGAGATTAATGCATGATAGAGAAGAAGTTATTATTGTCATATTTTGCAAGTAGATACTTATACTCTTTTACTTCAATTTTTTTCATAATTTTATTTTCATTTATAAGTCTTTTATTTTAGTTTATGAATTTGTGTTCATGATCCACATACTTTGATTCAATTATAAGATCCAAATTTCAAAGATTTTCTCCGCCATCTTAAACTTTGAGCCAAGTATATATAAGACTAGTCTATGAATTCTACACATTGACATTGCTAAAACAAGGACAAAGATTGGAAAAATCAAGGTTGGGAACAAGGACTATGGAGGAGGACTTGAAATAAGAAGAATGGAGGAATGGGAGCAATAGCTAGGAATATGGAAAATAGAAATGGTAGCTAAAAGGATGCAATGATAGTTCAGATATGTAGATTGATTTAATAAAAGTTTAGATAATTTTAAAATTTTCCTTTCTATAAGGTATTAAATTTTATGAAAGATAAAAAAAGTATTAATTTCAAAGTAATAAAATGACAAAAATGACTATAGATTTATTTAAAAAATTAAATCTATAAAAATCAAAAGACAACATCAAAAAGTTATATTTTTTATTTTATTTTATATTACTATGATTTTATAATTAATTTAAATTAGATAGTACTAATTAGAATGTTAATTCTAAGTAATAGATTAAAAATTGATATAAGTAATGCCATCCACAAGACAATGATATTTGAATTTTAATACACAACTATCAAAATATTAAAAAAATGTCATTTAGCCCCTATAAAAATAATGAGAGAAATCACCCAATACTAATTGTAGTAGCTCTAAGAAGTCTAATAGTTGAAAGCAAAAAAATAAATACTCTTTTTTTGCAATCAAGTCATTATTTTTCTTATATTTGAATCTTTGCAATGCGTCTTGCATTTGTTCCCACTTCAAAATCTCTATAGTGACTTTAATTAACTACATTGGACCTTTTATACTCTATACCTTACAACCCTCATTTAATATTGACACTAAAAGATTAAAAAATAAAGTCAATATGAATGCTTAGCTATCACATGTCAATTATCTATGCAGTAATTTTTTTAACACTTTTAGCTTCAAATTCCAAAAAACTAAAGGATTGATAGGCCACGCTTTTACAATTTTTATTTTTACTAAAAATCAAAATCAAATGAGATTTTATTCTTTTGTTCGACATAAGTTTTTTGTTCTTGTTGAATTCATCTTAAAATACATATGTTATTTTTTAATAGATGTGCTATCCTAACCAAACTCCCTACTTAATAATATCTTCTATTTAGATTGGCGTTAAGAGCCAAGAAGTCTATTATGTGGAACTTGGCCAAATAAATGGACTTAAGGAATGCGATGGACTAGTAGGAAGAAATTTTGGAATTGCTACCATAAAATGAATGAGTAGAGGAGTGAGTTGGATAAATTTATAAGAATAGTAGAAGAAATGAGATAAGATAAGACATCTTTCATATGCCTTGCTGCGCTCAAATTTCCATCCACTACACTACTATTCAAATATGGGAAACGGAGATTGGAAATAGAGACAAAGGAGTTAAGATGAGGAATGCAAGCTAAAAAAAAAAGATGTAGAATAAGGATTGGAAACAAGAAAGAAGGACATAGATGAAAAATAGAATAATAAGAGATTAGAATAAAAATAATATTGTATAACATGAATTTTAGCTTGAAAATACAATGAGTATCCAACCATGGAGGTAAATAGAAAAATACAACAACAAGATCTTAACAAGTCTAATAGAATCTTAAATAAATTCTAATTAAACCTTAATGAATTTAATCAAATTTTAACAAATTCAAACGGAGTTTAAAGGAAATTACTAAAGAAGCATAAAAAAGCTTTAAATTAATCTTATAGAAAAATAATAAAGTAATCTTAAAAAAATACTAAAATAAAACCATTAAATAAATAATAAAGAATAATAAAAAAAATTAAAATTTAAAAATGTTTAAAAAAATAATAAGAATTATTTTAAAATACTAAAAATAAAAATCTTAAATATATCTTGAATTAATTCTAGATAAATATTATTTAAATATTAATGAAGATCTAAACAAATCCTAATAAAATTCTAAAAAATTCTAAAAAAATTTTAAATAAATTTTAAAAAATCTTAATCAAATTTTAATTAAATATTAATAAAATCCAACCAAATCCTAATCAAATCTTAAACCAATTTTAACTAAGTTTTAATCAAATTCTAATCAATCCTAAGTAAATCTTAACTAATTTTTATAGTTATATTTAAATCTCAATAAATATTAATCAAACCATTGATCTTTATTAAAATTTTATATACATTTTAATTCACAAAAAATTAATAATTTAAAAAAAAACCAAAATCACCAATTAAAAGAAAAAGCTTCTAAACATCTTGGATATTGGCTGTTCTTCTTTTCTAACTTAGATGTTGATCTTTTAGTAGCAATTTCTTTTTATTAAATAATTTAATTTCTT